TATACACACAAAAGCTCATACCTAGAAAGCTTATACTTAGTTGGTCTTTAAGATGCTACTGGAATTATGGGGGGGGGGGAGAATTGGGGGGGGAGATTATTTTAAAGACTGTCTTAAGATAAAGAGACTTGATTCTCTTTAAGGGAGTTCTTTTTGGATAACCTTTTAATAATTTTTTTATCTTTCATCTTGTTATTTATTATCAATATGTAGAGACTCACATAATTTTGTACATTGTTGTTTGCTCTGCTATTATAATATTCAAGACGCAACTCTTCTGGCAAGAAGTCTGGAAACCCTGCAGGAAGAGGAACAGTCAAAACCTGGAAAGACAGATAATACTGCTCTTACCCCCAGCTATGAAATCATAGTAAATGCATCCCCCAACAACTCTCATGTTTGTTGAGAAGAGACACTGGCCAAGAATAAAAGCAAATGACAATGGCACCAGAGAATCAATTAATAGCTTTCACCATGCATTGGGGTCTTATTTCAAAAGCATGATACTTCAAAAACTCCAGAAGTTACTTCAATGCATGGTATGTAGCATATTCTGTGATCTGTGCTAACTTGTACTTTCTTAATTTAGAGCTTATGGCAGCTTGCAAATTAATCATTTATCCATTCAAGACATCGTGTGAAGAAATGCAGTTTCAACTCTACATTTATTCAGGTTACAAGCAATGCATGGTAGGGAGAACTTGTAAGTGTTTAGCCCAGGCATAGGCAAACTTGGCCCTCCAGATGTTTTGGGACTACAACTCCCATCATCCCTGGCCACTGGTCCTGTCAGCTAGAGATGATGGGAGTTGCAGTCCCAAAACATCTGGAGGGCCGAGTTTGCCTATGCCTGGTTTAGCCCCTTCTGAGCCTCTCAATTCTCCTTTTCAGGTGCCTTCTACGTCCGTCCTTCCCAAAGCTGGGCTCACTTTTTGAGCCTGGCTGAGTGCTGGGAAAGCGGGAAAGGAAACACTGTCCAGGAGCAGTAATATTAGCAATGAAGAATCAGAGACAGCAAAAGACCAAACAGCTCAATGGTAGGTTTTTAATCCTTCTCTATTGCCAATGACACATATACTGTACATACCCCAACTACACACTACTAAAATCATAAAGGAAAAATTGGTTTCAGAACTCTTCTTTCTCTCATGGAGCCTATAGCTGCCATGACAGTCAGCAACAAATAAAGCTGGGTTAAATAATACAAGGAGGCCAAGTAAGCAAATCACATTATTGTAAATTGCCCACCTGATAAAGTAGTTAGATTGTGGTCTTGCAAAAACTCCCACTTTGGGTTAGTTAAATAAATACTAGAATGAGTAGAAATTTTAGAAGCATTGTCCATACCAATTATACCATACTCCATACCATACTCATTAAAAAAGAAAGAAAGATAAAAGACAGACACCTTTTGTTCACTTATATAAGCACACTTCTCATTCTTTGGGATCCAATAACAGTATTCAAGTGAGAAATAAACCTAAGCATATGTGGGTAATTAAGAGGATTAGGAAAGATTCTACCTGATATATTCGGCTTTTCTTTCATAGGTGAATAGGTGGAAAACATCCATTGTCCTGAAGATTCCCAACTCTCCATGTCTTTCATTATAATTTCACTGAATAAATGACATTCAAAAGTCATAAGCCAAATGAAACCAAAGATAGGCAGTGAAGACCTACTTAAAGCTAGATTCAATGTGTTTTTAAAAAAATACAGAGCCAAGTCAAAGGTTTACTGTGATAAGACGAAACAGTATGTTTTATAAGTGGCTTGCTACAATACTCTTTTTCAGTTTCTAAAATTCAAAGAAAAAAAGTGGAAAGAGTGGGTGCAAGATCAAATATAAACAGGAAGTACTTGAATAAGCAGAGAAAATCACAAGTGAATGAAAAAAAATTGTTAAGTGATTCAGTGTGAGAAATCCACATCTGCATCATTTGGGGGCACAGATGCCAATCCAGTCTGATGCAGATGGCAATGCACATCCCCATCTAGAGCCTCTAGTTTTGCACAACTAAGAAGCAAGAGCTGCATCAGAGCCAATATCAAACCAATCTGAAACATATTTGTACCAAGTCACATTTTTTAAATAGCTGTCAGAACAAAAATTAGCTACACCAATGAAACATCAACATGATTGAAATTATCTGAAAAGAAACCATTCTTCTCTGTTAATGGGATAGGAATCTCAGGCTAGTCTTTCCCCTTTCTCATTCCCAAATGCAGTTTATGAAGACAGGACCAAGTGTCAGACTCACATGCTCCTCCCTCATCCCTCTCGTTGAGTGCCAGCTTTGGCAGTTTGATCTTGTTTAAAGGAAAACAGTTCCCATTACAAATGAAACAGGAAACTCTGGATGAATGTTAACTTAAGCATCATTAAGCCATGGTCTACCACTTCAGACACAGCAGGATTTGCTTTAAACAAGATCAAAGTGCCGGAGCCAATAGCATAAGAAATAATCATGACCAACACTCATTCAAGCTAATTATGCCCAAACTGGCTCTTAATATTATGAACTTTTATGAGCAAAGGCCACTATGAAGAAAATGTCACAGGCAGGCATTCTGTACGCAGTTAATTCTTCTTAACTCCTATTTACCTCACTGGGATATTAACAATTGTGTACAGGACTGCAGCCATAGGGTTCAGGTTTGTTATTTAATTAGCCATTCAATAATATTTATTTAAAGTTTATTAAAACTTGAGAGATAGGAAATTGCTACTTACAGAAGTTTATCTTCCTCATCTACAATGCCACTATTACCAACATTTTCAGTGGAGTTTAATGCAGCATATCTATTCTGTGAAAAGCCAGAATCTCTGTTGTGCCAGCTGGTTGACTTGGAAAAACTGGATGTCTGTACAGGGTTACTGTATCTCTGATTATGTCCACTCCATGCTACTCTTCGACCGGAGCCTTCAGTTGGGAAAGAAAGAGATGTGTTAAGTAAGAGTTATGAGAGACACCAGCTTCACTACTCCTGCTGCCTGTTGAATTTTCACCTGTGACAGCCTGCAGAAAGTCTCAAAATCTAGTATCCTGAGGAGTGGGGAGGCAAGGCATTGGACCAATTGCTACACCTGCTCCAGGGTGACCTGGCACAGAGCAAGGCTACATTACGCCCACTGCTACCTAGCTACAGTTAGGATTGTCTTGTTAGTCTAAACCAGCCTTTCTCAACTTCTGGTGCCCCCCCCATATGTTTTTGAACTACAACTCCCATCATCCCTGATCACTAGCCATGCTGGCTAGGAATGATGGGAGTTGTAGTCCAAGAACATCCAGGGACCCAAGGTTGTGAAAAGGCTGGTCTAGACGTGCCCTGTTATTTTTATCGGAGGATGGTGGCAGTGGCCGGGGAATGCAAGAGAGCCGCAAACAATATGATCACGGCAACACCACTCTCAGCTCAGCCCACTGGGTCAGCCACACCAGGGAGAGAGAGCGGCATTGGCTGCTTCCCTTCCCTCGCTTCCAAGCCACCCTTCGCCAACCCAGTGCCCTCCTGATGTTCTGGACTACAGCTCCCATCAACCCTAGCCAATGCTAAGGTTGCCACCTGTCCAGGATTGTCCCATAGTTCAATGTAAAATACTACATATTGTATTGATACAATTTTGTCCTGTATTTTAGGTCTCCTCTATTTCTCTCAACCCCTCTGCCAGGTTAGGGATATTCTCCACATGCATGTGTTGGAAACGTCCTATAGCTAAGCTCTGGGTAGCCATGCACATTTATAAATTCGTGTGTGTGCATGCGTGGCAAATTCCAGAGGGCCCGTCCTGTTAGGATACAATCAGTGCCAGATTTACATATAAGCTAAACAAGCTATAGCTTACGGCCCCACTCTCTTGGGGGCCCCCAAAAAATTTGAAGGGGGAAAAACCTGGATGTACATTTCCAAAATAGAAGATAAAAAACAAATAAAATAAAACCTACATACAGCAACGGTGTTGTATGTTGTGTAGGCTCCTATAATGTAAGTAATGTGCCCCGCCTGCTTCCTAAAATATCACTGGTTTGCTATTATTATTTCATGTTACAGCAAGTTTCTAGTGACTAGATTGTGAGTGTTTGTAAATTGTGTTTCTAAAGGAACTTTTGTTATAGCCAAATGCCAATGTGTTTGCGTTATTAAGTTTGTTATGAATAAAAAATCATTTTAAGTTAGAGCTTAATAATTATTTCACTATTAATATACTTCTTTATTGTATTTCAGTTCAACCATTACATATTTTGTTATGTGCAAATGGCTTTAGATACCTATTAGGCCCATAAATTACCATATAGCATATATTCAACACAAAAAACAGAGACAGTTTGTTGCTGACAAATTTACAGCTGGATATATAAAGGCCCCATTACCTTCAGTAGCTTAGGGGCTCATCAAAACTAAATCCGGCCCTGGATACAATAAGACTGAAACGGATTACTCTGAAGTCACTCCAGCACCAGATGAAAAAAAATTCGGCCCCCCTCCAACCGCCCCACCCCGCATGGTGCCAGTATAGAGGGGGCAGCCCTAGCCGGCGCCCATCTGGAGGGCAGCAGGTCAGCCGGCGCGAGGGGACGGAGAGAAGCCGCCGGCGGAGAGGCGGAGCGGGACATCCTCCCGTTCTTACCCGCGTTGGCTCTGCCGGCGTGTTGGCGCGGGTGCTCGTTCCAGCAGTTGTCGCCGAAGCGGCAGTGGCCCTGCAAGAAGTAGTGGCAGACCTGGCCGGAGTTGCGCGCCATGGCGGAGCTTCCCCGGCGGCAGCTCCCGAAAGCAACTCCTCGAAAGCAAGAATATGAAGAGCCGCCGCCGCCGCCGCCGCCGCCGCTGCTGCCTTACGCACGACGGTAGGCTCTGCTTTCAGGGCTCGTGTTGATGACGCGCGGGCGTCGGCAGCAGCCTCGCTGGGCGAGCGCGAGCCCTCTCCGAGCGGCTCTTTCCTAAGACGTCAGCAGCCCGCTGGCAGTTGGTGGAAACGAAAAAACAACAAACCGCTTCGGCGCGCGCAGAGCCGTTGGGAGCGGCCGTTGAGGAGCCGCGGCGAGGCTTCGAAGCGCCGTTTCCTCGCTCTTCCAAACTATGGCGTGACTTTCCAGAGGAGACGACGTGCGGCAGCGCCGTCCTCCTGCCCAGGTCTGCTCAGCAACGGGGGCTGTTGAATTCGGTGGGGGTTTCTTCTCCTACGAGGAAGCGGCGGCGGCTTAAGACCGCAGGCAGCACGGTAGCGCGGCGCTAAGCGATGGCAAAACCCGTCAGCTTTCGTAGAGCCGACGTCGTCAGATGAGCTAAGAGTCTGTGTATGACAGAAATTTGGCAAGCACTATACGTCATAGTGCACTGTCAGCCCCCAAATGCTGCAGGGTTAGCTAGGAAAAACACATGAACAGGTGTCTTTTTGTTTTATTCCTCCACCCTCGCCCTTAACTCTCCTCCTGATGGTGACTTTCCAGGTTCAGGGGACGCTTAAGTCTCTGAATGCTAGTTCCTGGAGAGCAAAAGCACACAAAGGCTATTTGCTTTGTGTGGCAGCTATGGGGTTTTGGAAAGCAATTACTCATGAGTGTAGCCAAGGGGGTTTGGTGCCACCCCCAAATCAAGTAAATCAATAAAAAATACTAAGTAACTGAGGTTCTGCCCCACTAACTTAAAGCCTGTCACCCCAACCTAAATCCTGGCTACGCCCATGGGACTACTTAGGATTCCCAGTGGCTATTGCCTACTAGATGAGCCTTTTATGCCAAGGCAGTAGGGTGGTTCTTACTTATTTCTTTATTATTTCTTTATTAAATTTATATGCCACCCTTCATCCAAAGATCATGTGTGACTAAGTTCACATTAAGAGCCCTGAACAGTAATATAGAAATAAGACTATACATCAACATTTTGTCATTTTATTTTGACTCTAAATCCAAATAGAGATGTGAGTGTGTCAATGTAGTTCTCTTTCTCTTTTCTTAAAGTTGTACCTTTACTTGCTTTTTCTTCTTTGGAGACTCCAAATGATAGGAACCATTTCCCAGCAGCAATCACTTAACAAATGTCCAAAGAGCAGTGTCTGTTGTTCTAGGTTTAATTTATCAATATCTACCCCTCTACTTCTTAACTTGCACTAGAGCAGTGTTTCCCAACCTTTTTTGGGCAAAGGCACACTTGTTTCATGAAAAAAATCTCGAGGCACACCACCATGCCAGATGGGGAAAGGTCACTTTTTACTTATGTAAAAAAAAATAAAAAAATAGTAACAGCATAGAAGGTAATGGTTAGGCTAGCATCCCTCTTCCAAATATGCTAGGTTTTTATTTGCAGGGACTGTTCTACATGGGAAAGCATTCAGCACTGTCATTCTCCCATCTGCCATCTGAATTGGTACTATTCTGGGTCAACTTACTCTGCTGCATGTGTAGATGAAAATGGCACCAAGTGTGGGGGAGGGGGCAGAACAGGTTTCAGATACAGGATATTAAGCATACACGTACTTCAGATTGAACTGGTTGCTTGCTTTGCAAGTTTTCATTTCCCAAATGACTGCCTTGGCAAGCGCAATACCTACCAGGCTCAACGCCGGTCTCGCGCTGCCGCTTCCCGCGCTCTCAAGGACCCGGGAGGAGGAAGGCGTGAAGGGAATCCCGAAGGCGCGAAAACCTCGCGCATGCGCAGGCCTTCCGCCTGCGACAGCCCAGTAGGCCGGCCGAAGCGAGCGGCGATGGGATGTGGGAGGGAGCTCGCTCGCCGCCCCGCGTGTGCCTATGTGGGGCACGTTACAGCCCCGTGACGTCAGCGCCACGCAGGCAGCCAGGCAGGCAGACGGCGAGAGCCCCGCGCTGGGCGGCCTCTCCTCGCCGCCGCTGCCCCGCCTCTCGCCGCCCGACTCGCCCGCCTCCCTCCAGGCAACATCTCGCGGCACACCAGGCAACGTCTCGCGGCACACTAGTGTGCCGCGGAACACCGGTTGGGAAACACTGCACTAGAGTTTAGATAGGTGTCTTTTTCAAACCACGCCTTCAGCTGTCAAAGAACAGCGGTATGAAATAGCAGAGATTAACCTTAATGAAAAGCAATGTGCACTGGAAGTTGGCTTCCATATCTACTACTTCCAATGCTAACACACACTTGAAAGTACCGTAACCTTCATGCACCTTGATTTCTATTCCTCACAACTCTATTGGCAGCATTCAAAAAGGTTGTTAAATGAGAAAAGTGTACAATAAGAGCACCCACAGATATGTGTTTGCTCCTAAGTTCTAGGTTTTTTTATTTAATGTATTTTTTTACTATTACTAAAATTCAAAAGCAGGTTAAATTAAAAATACATAATAGAACAGCAGAATAAAATATGCAAAAACCAATAAAATCATCATAGGCAGCAGATTTACCAAAACACCTGGGTGAACTACTCTTCAACTGGTACCAAGAGTTGGTGCCACTTGTATTTGAGAAGCAAGTGAATTCAAGGCACCTGTAACAAGAATCCTTTTTTCCATGTGGGCACATATTGAATTCCAGGCAGATGTGGCACAGTCAAGGCAGCATTCCACATCAATCTTAATGTACAGGCAGGCCTATTTGAAAGCAGACACTCTTGTCAAGTATTCTATTCCTTATTCGATTCTATGTACTACTTCATTGTCAGCCCTACAAATTGCTGCCTTAAAGAGTTTCTTCCTCTACTTGTGTATTCATAAAATTTGCTTAGATTTCTTTTCTATCTTTTAATATGGACTCCCATATTAGAATGAGCTTTTCCTTGAATGAAGAATACAATTGGGAAAGGGCTGGAACTTTCTGGCTCTTCCCAGCCAAATTAAATTTGACAGATCTTTTCTTACCAAAGATAATGCTACTGATTTCCCCTAAAAGATAGTCCAGGTTATGGAAATAAAGTCTCTTCACATATTTTAACATGGACTATTAAATGAACACTTCATGACCACCTTAAGAAAAACATATTTATTTAACAAAGTTTACTGACAACAAGCCTCACTGAGGTATGTTTCCAAAAAAATTGCTTCTACTTAGCAAAAGTAATCAGTAGGCAAGGTTTATCAATACATTATTTGTTAATACACAAAAACAGTCCAATAAAACTTGTTGCACCGAGTCCATTTACTAAGAACTGACAATGAATCCGTTTTGTCACACAATGTCTAGTTACGTAACAGGGATATATCTAGAATTAAGGAAAATGAGTTTTCATACTGGATGGTCCATATTTGGACTGATGGAAGTTAAATGTGCACTATATGGGAACCCCCTTTAAAAACAAAAAAGTTAAAACTAGCATCTGCTAGATTTAAGTTTCTTATTGATCAAATTATTCAATTTTTGGCAAAAGGTTTGATGAGGGAAATACTTTAAAACATAATATAAAAAATGTGCTTCAGAATTTTTTTAAAGACCCAACATGAAAAAATAGTCATTTTAAATATTAGACTTGCATCACTCTGAAGGTATGTGTATCACTTTAACATAGTATTAAAGGCAGTATTACAAAGTATACAAAAATGTACTTTAAATAATATAGGATGTTCTCAACCTAAAGCACATATTATACCCCAAACGTGTTTTTGCACAAGTCATAAGTCGTTCACTTTATCACATGTAAACTTATGTCAATCTTTTTACAGTACACACTATGCAGTTTTTGGAACTTTAGATGCATATTAAATCAGGCATGTAAAAAATGGTATGAATTTTGATCTACCCCAATGAGAAGAAGGAATTGGAAGGAACAGACATTCTAAACAAACTTATTTCCTGGGTTTTACTTCGGCTACCCTACACTTATTAGACTGCAATTAGGGACAAAACCAATGAATGGAAATTGCCTGGGCAAGTTTAGTTCCACTCCAACTATTCCTAACAACACATTTACTTTCTCCTGTAAATGAACAGCTGCCTTCTAGTATGTCTAGGTAGGACTCCTGTAGAGAGGTGCAGTTTGTACCCTCATCTGCACAGTAAATATTTTAGGAAGTAGATGCACTAATGAAAAAGCATCATATCCCATGCACATGGCGGACAGGACATAGTGGAAACATACCACAGGTTTGTAGCTTTGCACAGATGGCATTAAGAACATGGAGGAGGGAGTAACTGCCTGTTGCCAGTCACCATTCCAGTTGCGTGAAAGATGCTCATATAAGATATGCCCCTAGTTATCTGAGCCTGCTCAGTACCAGAAGAAGGTGCATAAATAGTTAGAAAGCACTCAGTAACTTTTCACTCAGTAACTGGATACCATCCTGTGGGGGACCTGCATTGAAGTAATGCAGTATCTCTCTTTGTAGAACAGATGTTTCAGCAGAACAGATGTCTGAGCAAAGTTACTCCAACTAATAGGGTTTGTTTCATTCATTTTTGCTACCTGAAGATATTAATTATTTCAAACTCTGAAAAATGAAGGTTACTAAAAAATAATAATCTCTTGTTGGAATATTTCACAATATACCTAGACAGCAGAGTTTGTGGCAAAACTGCACACATGCATCTTAAGGAAACTTCATGTGTCTTCAATCTAGGGTTGTAGATTCTTGAGTTACTTCCAAAAAAAAAAACTTTGACAAGCAAATCCACCTTATACACATAGTGGAGATAAAGTGAAGGATTTCATCCCAAAAAATTCTGTGGTACCGACATCTTGACAAGATGAAATTGAAATGCAGAAACATCATAAGTAGCAATCCTGAAATCTTCATGTTTCTAGTGTCTCCTCATTTGCTCCGCAAGTATCAACTACACAGATTAAACAGCTGGTCACTGGGAAAGCACGGACTTTAGAGTTGGCTATCCATTTATCAGTTTCAGTATTATATTCAAGGATGTGTCCCAAACGACCTACACCCTGAAAGCCTGCTAAGACATAAACTATGGAACCCACAGCAGCACATTTTACAGTCACACCTTTCCATGGCATGGGAGAGACCATCTTCCACTCATTCACTTTAATGTCATAATATTCCACATTGTCTAAGCCACCTTTAAAGAGAAGAGAAAACACACGGATAAGTATCAACCATGATTTCTCAAACTTCCAACATAGTGATCACTTGAGATACAGAATCCTTCCCAAATTGAACTTCCTCTAGTATGGTGAAGTAAAAGCAATAGCTGCAAGGATGGTTTGAAAAATTTAGCATCTAAAATTATCTGGGACTTAATAACTGAGGAAAGGAAACAAAATCCAAGGTTTGAAAACAAGATCAAAGTTATCGCAGGGTGATAATAATTCAAAATTTACAGTGCAAGCCTTCTAAATGTCTACTCAGAAGTAACTGCCACTGAATTCAATGGCACTTACTCTGAGGTACGTAGGTATAGAATTGTTCTCTTAAAAGTCTCAATTTCCACTGCTTTAAGGAGAAATTATTTTAATTTTCTATATAAATGGTATTTAACCCTATGTATAGGACAATCCCACGGACACCAGAAGGTCGGCGGTTCGAATTCCCCGTGATGGGGTGAGCTCCCGTTGCTCGGTCCCTGCTCCTGCCAACCTAGCAGTTCGAAAGCACGTCAAAGTGCAAGTAGATAAATAGGTACCGCTCCGGTGGGAAGGCAAATGGCGTTTCTGTGCGCTGCTCTGGTTCGCCAGAAGCGGCTTAGTCATGCTGGCTACATGACCCGGAAGCTGTACACCAGCTCCCTCGGCCAATAAAGCGAGATGAGTGCCACAACCCCAGTGTCGGCCACGACTGGACCTAATGGTCAGGGGTCCCTTTACCTTTATAGGTCATCCCAGTCATGATGGATATATGCTTTGTAGATGACTTTCATATATGGGAGAGTATGTAAAATTACAGTGTACTGGTAGAGAAGTGTTTATTTTTAAACAATACTCTACATGTGATACCATTAACAGCAAAACTGCAGGTCTGGACAAGTCTGGTCAAACAGCAAACATCTCATATTCACTCTTGTAGTGAGGCATGACTGCAAGACTCCTTCCACTAACCACCCTAAAAAACATGCAGAGACACAGCTCATTCTGCCACTAAGCTGGTGGTCCAACAATCTTCACCAGTCAGTTGACTTGAAACTCACATCCATCCAAAGCTGGCCAATTTTGAGAAGCTGTAGCTGGCACAATTATTTGTACATCTTACCTCTGGCACAACAGATTTTAATAAAAATTATCAATTACCTAAGCCATTCTGTCCCCCAACGGCAAATATTTTGTCTTTCACAAACACAAGTCCATGATTTTTTCGGGCTTCAAGCATCGGACACAACTCTGTCCACCTGAAAATATTTAAAGCATGTAATTTTAAAAACACGTTCACTCAATTTCATACTATGAGCAGTTCTTTTTCCATCAAGTATGGTAAATACCAAAGTTGCAGAGAAGGGAATTTATAGTTAACATGATTTAGTTCCACTATGGCGAAAGTATGCCAGAGGAACTGTCAGTTAAAATGGAGCTCAGATCTAAGCTAATTTTGGTTGCTTAAAAGCTCTTGCTCCTTATAAAAATACATTACATAATAAACGGTAGAACAATATTAACAACAAACAAAATTCACAGCATCTGAAATATCTAAAAGGCTTTAAAACCCGATTTAAAAGTTTTAACTGCCCTCCTAATGCAAGCAGTGAAAGAGCCTCACAAATCTGCCAGGGAAGGGCACTCCAGAAGAAGTTGCATTTGTGTAATTGGCCTGTAGATGGTTAAACACACAATAAAATTGATTGAAATCAATACATACGTTTCTGTTGCTGGGTCATAAACTTCACAGGAATTCAAGACTCTTCCAGAAACATTGTTTCCTAAACTTCCTCCACATACATATATGAGACCATTTGCCTCTACCATCCCATGACTGCATCGCTGAGTCAGCATACTGGGCTTTGTGTGCCAACTTTCTGTTCTGGTATCATAGCATTCAAACAAATATAATGCAGAATTTCCTTTAAATAAAGAGACAAGCAACCTGATTTAGAGAATATTTGGAGATTCTATGAATTACATGCAACACTGCAATAAGGTCATTGTTGTAATTTGTCTTCTAGTGCAGCAGTTGAATGCTTCACATGACACTTCAAGCTGTACGGTTTTAAGGTTATGTTTTCCAAAACAAGGTACGTGATCCTATATACAAGCAACCTTCCTGTGATACTGATAATCCTTTAAAAAAAAATCTTTTCTGTGCCATCTGCATCTAAAATATATACAATTCAGGGAACAAAGTCTTCCTTTGCAACACTAGCATAATCCACATGGAACTGCCCATTTGCTGATATCACTACTCGCAGTCCTGCTCTGAATGCCCTGGTATCAGAGATTAAGCAGGTGGATATCTGGTATACTCTCTCAGTGCTGGTGCTCAGACTTTGCAACACCCTTTCCAGAGATGTTGACTTAGCATTCTCTGTCTTATCCTTTCAGCTCCAAGCCAGTTTTTTTCAGGCAAGCACTTAAGGAATGGAAGGAAGAGAATGAAGCAGCTCCTGCTTTACTGTTTAGCTGATGTTAAATCTATGAATGTGTTCTGTTTGGTATTTTAGGTTTTGGCTATTCTATTTTTGTTGTTCTTTGTTATCTGCTCTGGCTTTCTTAGATAGAAAGACGCCACATAACAGAGCACTGGTGTTCTCCTTTTTGAACATGAATAAATACCGAAAAGGTTGGAGACCTTCTCTCACAAAGCAAAGATGGCAGCAAAGATAGAACCACAGAAGGAAGACACTCACTCTCCCCATAGTGAGCGCAAACTGGCAAAACCATTAGGAAAGGTGGACTGAGCTTCACTTGCTGCAACAGTCCAATAGATCTGTACTAGAGATACACATTATGAAGCAAGTTTGCCTCAAACTTGGAGAAATGAATTTGCAGGGGAGAACTAGTGGGCATTTAATCTATCCCACACATGTTCATTATCCCCTGCAAATGCTCACTATCTACGATGTCCCAACTGTAGTATTTTCTGAGCTGTCCCACAAAAATACAAGTGGACATAGGGTTGCAGCCTGGGGGTGAGGTAAACCATGAACTCTTGCTATCTGTACCAGTTGTGCTGTAAGTTACAGATAAATGTCAGATATATACAGTACTTTCATTTCTAGATTTAGGTGGCTAAATGAAGCTGACATGACAAATATCCCTTCTAAAAATACACTGTTGTATCCAATGCCAGTCATACTAAGACTAGTCCTATTGAAATTCAGGGGCATGACTAACTTAGGTCCATTAATTTCAAAGAGTGTATTCAGAGTACAACTTAGTTGGATACAGTTCACTGATTTTTTTGTTTTTTGCTCTATATTTTAAGGCCCACATTGGATAAGCTGGCTTCTGAGTTTTGGCAGCGAGTGCCATTTCTTTTTTAAAGTAAAATTCAATGACAACATTAGGATGCCACACACGACTTCTACTTTACAGACCCACTAGCAGACCCTTCGAGTGTCTTACCTACTTCAGAACCACCAGATGTATATATTTTACCCTCTGCTGCACAAGCTGCAAGGCTATCCCGAGGTGTTGGAGGCCCCAGCTTGGAATACCAGCTGTCTTTCACAACATTGTAACAGTCCATTCGCTTTATAGGAAAAAGTTGGGAGCCGCCCAAAATATAAACCACGTTGTCCCAGAAAACACAAGCTGCATCCCTCCGCTTTTCAAAGGGACATCGGATGTCTGTCCAGCTGTAATCCTGTATGAGAAAATACAGATGTTTGGGAGAGAATACTGTGCTTTGTAAATTCTTCAGAATTCTGAGACCATTGTTATTTATTTATTTGTCCAATGAAGCTGGTGTGGCATACATGGTTCTTCACCCTGTCCATTTTACCCTCAAAATTACGTTGCAGGGTAATTTAGGCTGACAGATAGTGACTCTCAAAGTCATAGAAGCTTTATAATGAAGTAAGGACTTCAACTTGCATGCCCCTAGTCTTAGTCCAACACTCTAACCACTAGGCTTTTATAAAAATGAGCAGTACCTTGATAATAGTAGTACACCACATTTGTATGTTGGGAAGCGATGTGGAGAGGAGCCTGGAAAGCTGTCTGCTATCTAGCTCCTGGTATTCTCCAAGTGGCCTTTCCCAACCAACTGCCACTACAAGGCTGATTCAGGAACCATTTTGCTCTGACAAGAGTTTTAGTTTTCACAATTTTTTTTCCTCCCCTTGTAGCATGTATTTGCTATTTCACTGCATAGCTTTGATTGATTTTAATGTTTTATGCAAACCGCTTTATGATGTCTGCCTGAAAAGTGGTGTACGGTATCTTAAATAAATAAATAAATGTGAGTTTACGGAACGGTGGAAAACTTGTTTGCATGTATTACAGTGGGTGTTGAAAAAAATGGGGCTTAGATCTAATAGGCCACTGTTACCGTCTTTACCACTGTTTTATTATAGGTGGAATCCTGTCTGCAGCGGACACACTGCTCAGACAACATCATAATTATTGAAAACTTCCTTCACACCCGCTTGCAGAGTATAATTATGCTAATGTGTTATCTTCACATCTTCCTTACACTTGGGGCATCAACAATAATTAACTGAAGGATGGGGGCGGAGAGGAGGGCAAAAGTAACCAACTGAGAATCTGTTTTGAGAAACTCCTGGCTGTTATTAGTTGGCTTGATTTTAAAATTCAATAGATAAATGGAGTCAAGAAAGAGAACAGAACAATACAAAAAAGTGCTTAGAAGAAAATAGCAGATCTTAAGGAATAGAATCAGATAAAATAGAACTGGGGGAAATTTGTTGTCATGGCAACCAAGAACTCATTTCACCATGCTACAAATGATATATAATGTACCTTCAATTGGTTTACCTGTAATAAACTACAAATGGTGCTGCAAAAAACACCAGCAGAGTCATCAGTAGGGTTGAAAATGTATACAAACACAGCCAAATTTGAGCAACTGGGATAAATTAATGGAAATTAATGCACATTCCAAGAACCAGATAGTTACAAAAAGCAGCAAGATCCTAGCTATATCACAGTCAAAGTACAAGACAACACTACATTCTTTAAAACTGCTTTTTAATTGTAATTTTTTATTTTTAAAAATTGTTTTTAACTGTTTTATGGGTTATTCAGCTGTTTATGTTTATATTTTCTTTATGTATTTTGTGTTTTTATATTGTAATTTTATCTTGTGAACCGTGAGACCTGTGGGTATAGGGCGGTATATAAATTTAATTAATAATCATAATAATATTGCCTGAGCCAGCATACCTGTGTATCCCCTGTTGTATCAAAAACCTCAGCTATAAATAAGATGATCATCTAAACAAGATTCTATTTACCTGCACTATCTCAATGGGATGTTCATTCATGTGCTTTTCTCAATCTGGGTGCAATTAGTCACATGAAAATATATTTTAAAACAACTGATAGAGCATTTATCTGCCAATATGTTGAATTGCAGTGAGTAGGAAAAAACTGAAATTTAAAAATATAGTCAATAATCATTATAGCTTTCTAGTCCAGCAACATCTTGTACTAGCAGAGGCTGACAGAACATCTTCAAAAGATAGCAAGCATAAGATGACAATTCAGTAACTCCCACCTCAATAGACATTGCTGAGGCACCACAGCAAGGATTCTGAAAGCCATGAAACAAGTAACTAATGCTCACTTTTAGGTTGTTCAAATAAGAGGGGCCTTCACTCCCACAAAGCATCCTTCTGACAGACTACTCCATTTGCTGAAATGATCACAAGAGGGGGATTTATTGGGCTTGGAGGACATACTTCCTCTCAGACCAGTTTTCCCCATTTCCCCATGTGAATTTTCACAAGATTCAAATTTGTTACTTTAATAATGATCAACTATTTGGGTATTTTATTTTATAAACGACTATACAAAATAGAAATCTATTTCTGGCAACAATGAAAGTCCATACGTAAGTGTAAGAAACATTAAAGTTGCCATAGAAACCTCAAAATAGCTCTGCACTACAGAAAGTTCCCTGTATCATCTTGCTATCCCTTATTACATTGTTCCTTACAACCTGTCCTCCCACAATTTAACAAAAACGCTTGTTTTGTGAAATCTCACAAGTGCAAGAACAAACTAATTTTATATCTATTCTCATATCTATATCTGTAGTGATTAAACTGGTTATATAATGAAAGAGATGATGAATTTTTCGGCTACACACTATCTGTTGAAATTCTGAAAGATCAGAGCTACCTTTGGATTAAAATACCGACATGACTGTGGCTGTGAGCCACCAAACAAGGCAATGCGGTAATCGTGCTTTTTTCTTCGCGGGCGAGTGCCATCCACCAACTCTTCTCTGTCTTCTGGAGAAAGCAGATGGTATCTCATGCCACCTAAACCAGAAGGCACACACAATGATTCCATGTAATTCTAAGAGAAATCTCTGTTTCCAAAGCAAGGATAGACAAAAATTAAAGAGGAGGGGGAAAATAAAAGTCTGTTTTTAACTATTTTTCAAAAATCACATGCAACCTCTGAAATACAGAAAGGCTGCCACAAAAAATAAATAAATGATGCAGTGTCTTTAAAACATGTTTCTATATTCACTGATATGTATAAAGTACCTGTACAGTGAGACAAACTGATTACCATGGAATAAACCTCTCAGAATATTATGCCACTAAGTATGTCATCAAATACACTGGGAAGAAACATCAACATCCAATATGTTTTAAATAATCAAAGCTTAGTATCTATAAAATATTTCTCACTACATCTAAACAAGAACACAGCTTAAAGGTTTTATCCAGTCTTTCCTTCTTTTTCTTTGTTTTGACTTAGCATATACTTGAGAAGCAGCCCGGATCTGCATTGAAGACACAGATGGTGGTGCGTAGGTTTACTGTTCTTCAACAGCTGAGAGAAATGTCATTACTCAGGCTATTTTTGTATAGATATTAATGTTCTTACCAATTATATCTGAAGCCTAAGAAATCTGAAACATACGAGCTGGTTTTAAAGGCATACTGATCCTTCCAATAACTTTTTTTCAGGTATTAAGGTGGCCTTTGGTAATGAATACTCTAGTATCTTCTATTTTGCATCTTAAAGTGGGGCCCAGTTTATTGAAATAAGTTACTTTAGTGAAGAGGAGGGTGGGATGATTTGGTAGGGGTGTTTTCCTGGGGTTAAGTGAAAGGTGGATGGATGCTGGCTAGCCACCAACCCATGGTTGCAGTAATCAACAGAAGGAAAGGGGGAAGGAAGATGTTGATTATACTTGTCTTTGTACAGGATTCCCAGGATCATTGCTGCCATCCCCCCACTCATCCAAATAGGACATCACAGAAAAATCCTAGAGCACTTTCTTCATCTTCACTCCAGCTGCAACAAAAAGTGCACAAGGGCACAAAGACAAACCAACTTGAACTTGTAGCCGAGGGAATTCTACAACCAAGGTGCCAACACAGAGAAGGCCTTCTACTATTATTAAGTGGTGGGGAAAACTGGAGTCAGACCTTGGGAAATCTAAATTGATACAATGGAGAAAATGCAGTCCTCCAGATTCCCTGGTCCCAGACCATTTAGGGTTTAAAGGGCACATAAAAGAATCAATTAGGCTCAAAAGCAAACTGAAAGATAGGTGAAGCCCTTTAAACACTGGAGGACTATGTTCACCATAGTTGTTGGCATCTATCTCAGGAGACAGTGGAGGAGTGTGCCTTTAGGGGTGAAGTCAAACCGTTGGAGAGATACGATGTCTGCTGTGGCTGTAGAGACTGATGCAGGAGAGACATGTTTTGTTGCTGACTGGTTGTGCTGACTGACTGTCTCTAGGTACTCGGTCATCTCCAAGGGATTTCCACACTGGGATTGATATTGCCATCATTCATGTCATGTTTGCATATCACTTTGTAACACAGAGTTGGTCTGCCAATGGGTCTGGTGTCTGAAGCCAGCTCCCTGTAGAGCACATCTTTGGGGATCCTGCCATCTTCCATTCTGTGGACATGACCAAGCCACTGAAGACTCTGAGACAGGAGTGCTGGGAATGTAGGCTTGGGAGACACATCCTTGCTTGAGATTCTGTCCTGTCATGTGATGCCCAAAATCTTCCTGATATAGCAAATGTGGAAGGCTTCTGGTGATTGTTGGTTGCCCATGACTCACTTCCATAAAGCAGTGTGCTCAACATGCAAGCAGGGCTGCCTGCTTCAATGGGTGCTTGGAGCCCAGAGTATCACTCGACAAGCACCAGGAAAACTACTGCATCAGCAGAACTACTATACAAATCAATGGAGCAATTGCACTCAGAAAAGGGCAACCGTGATCAAGGGGATAGAGCAACTCCCCTGGGAGGAGAGGTTGCAGCATTGGGGCCTCTTTAGTTTAGAGAGAAAGCAAGTAAGAGGTGACATAGAAGTGTATAAGATGAACCATGGTATGGGAAAAGTGGATACAAATAAGTACCCCCCCCCAATCTCATAACACAAACTCATGGACAACCAATGAAGCTAAATACTGAGGATTCAGGACAGACAATAGTAGTTCTTTACACAGTACACTGTTATGCTATGGACTTCACTCCCACAGGAGGCAGTGATGGTGACCAACTTGGATGGCTTTAAACGATGGTTATTTATGGAGGATAAGGCTATCACTAACCACAAAGGCTATGCTCTGCCTCCACAATTGGAGGCAGTATGCTACTAGTTGCTGGAAACTGCAGGAGGGGACACTGCTCTTGTGCTCAGCTCCTGCTGTTAGGCTTCCCATAGGCATCTGGTTGGCCACTGTGAGAACAGGATGCTTGACTAGATGGGCAACTGGTTTGATCCAGCAGGCTCTTATAATTTTATGAAACTCTGAAGTGACCCATAACTGCTCGAAGCTGTCCCGTAACGACAAGGCATTTCCTTATTTTGGTATCCACTGTTCAAGGCTGTGACACACAAATGAGAAGGTGGGAGACTCTGGACCATGAAGCTCATATAGTCTGCAATTTATTAGACATAGTTCTAACTGCAGGAAATAGAATGCCGATATTAAGGGCTACTAGTCAGCTTTGATTCAGCTTCCTGGCACAGAGAGAACAGGGTTAATCCTACCTTTCTTTTGTATTTACATGCTAAAATGTATTTAAATGGATTTAAATTTAAATTTTCTTCTTAAAGAAAAACTTTACAGAGAGTTGAGACAACTTGGAAGATAAACTTACTTATAACCATTTTGAGGCACTCAGGGTTGTCCTGGATAAGTGGCTCAGCTTGTACTGTTTTACTGAGGAAATTCTTTGAAATTAAAGGAAACCTGACTTTAGCAAGAATGTCAACCATGTAAGGCTGACGGTTTGGCTCGTCATACTTCAGCCACCTGACAGCAGCATCATAAACCTAGAAATAAGAAAGAAAAATACATCTGTGTACTTATAGTAGCAGCCATCTATAGAACCAGGAAATTAATAGCTCAGCTGTTACAAAAAGGAAGTCTAACTTAGGATCTTCAAAGGGCTTTTAAAAATAATTACTTGCTATACCTTATATTGCCAGTTAGATGGGTTTAAGAAGAAATCCCAAATTTAAAAGCTGATTCTGATCTCCTGAGATAAAAAAATTCAAAGCCATGACTATTCAGAGTTGTGAAACCACAAGCAGCAGCTGAACTAAGATAGACCAAGTTATTTTATGATAATTATTACAAAGTGAACATGCATGTGTAAATTGGAGTGAAATAACTCACAGGGCTGCCACTTACCTGGAAAATACAATTTCACTTCTAACATATTTCAGCCACTGAAACAATTTTTATGTCCCCCCACACTAAATGGGATCCACCACACTGAAAGGATCTAACTTTGTTTCAGTGAAAAGTTTACACATTCTTGAAGCAATTAGATAACGTGGAAAAATCCCAGATATAGTAGTAGCTATGCTAATACCTTTTGGTCCTTCATAGTAACTACTCTCAATGTTTTTAGAAAGAGTCGCTTCAACTGTCAAACATTACACCATGATATCCAAGAACGAGATAGAAAACCAACTACAAAACTGAGAAAACGCCACAAACAGCAAAAAGGAGGAAAAACTACCAGAAAGTCTCAATCTGTTTTGGAACAAATCTTTCCTTTTAAACAGCTTTTCTCATAAAAAATATAGGACACTATAGTGACACCTACTTCAAGTACCTGATGTTCCAGCCTTTTTTCCTGCCCAAAATTAATCAAATACTGATCCTTTAGTTTTGATGCAGTTTGTTGTTGTTTAGTCGTTTAGTCGTGTCCGACTCTTCGTGACCCCATGGACCAGAACACGCCAGGCACCCCTGTCCTCCACTACCTCCCGCAGTTTGGTCAAACCCATGCTGGTAACCTCGAAAACACTATCCAACCATCTTGTCCTCTGTCGCCCCCTTCTCCTTGTGCCCTCCATCTTTCCCAGCAGTTAAGCACTCCTATATTTGAGGCCCTTCTGTTTTTCACATTACAACTCCCCATGCCACTTTGAAGGCTGCTCCATTAAGTCATTGGACTTTGTGGGGAGATGAGACCTGAAAAGCTGGAGAATCTGGTTGGAAATTCATACAGGATTAAAAGTTCTGCCAGCAATTATTTGCATTCCACTTTTGACAGGAAATGTTTCCACACAGATTGCATATTTACAGCAAGATAGCTAAAAACACAAACCCTTATTTCAGATGCAAGACTAAGATAGCTATGAAACTGGACCCTCACCTGATCTTCTGCTCTTACAGTTAGCGTGTCTTGATTCAGGAGATGTGTTACACGTTTAACATCTAGCTGCAGAAACTCGTCTGTCTTGTAAACCTCTGTGAAATGCTGGTGGATAAAGTCATCTGCAGTAGCCTTGAGCTCTGGGCAGTCAAGACACTCTGCTAGCACACTTATACCTAGTTCAAGATGGTACAAAATTATGAAAAGACATTTAAAAGTCATGAAAAAGCATATTGGTTGTAATTAAACTTTGTGCTCTTACGAATGTTCCATCTGCACAAGCATTGCAGCTTGATAGATGGAAGACTCATTCTTGCCCCCTCCCTTTTGGGTTATCCCAATTCCCTCCTGCCAGTTTCAGGGCGGGCGTGGGAGAAGTAGAGGGGGGAAGCCCCCTTGCACAGAGTTTCTGTTGACAGAGCAGAATGCTGCCCATTTATTTTTTATGTGAAACACCATGTTATTAATAATTTAATATAAGTTTTTTTCCTCTTCAGTGGCAAAAGTAATGACCAAAATAGTTATCTTGAGAAGTAAAATAATTGATGAAATCTATGAATTTGTCATGCACTAAGTACTAGAGAGACAATGATGTCATGTTAGCAACTTGGAAGAAAATCTTTAACAGTAGTCACATTCTATAGAAGACAATAGTTCAGTCTGGCTTATCTGAAAGCTAATCAGAGGTGGCAGGCACTGTAGCAGTACTATATGCATGACAAATACATTTTCAAACCATAAAACTTGTTTTCCAGTAGAATAATACATGAAATGTATCATTAGCAAGACTGTCCTAAAAATGAAATAATCAAGGACCCAAAGTGCCAATTTTGAAAAATATCAAGAGTTCTTAGAAACAATATAGAGTGAGCCATCTTACCAAGACAATTTGAAGCATCAACTTGCTCTTTTAAGAAGTCCACACACATTTTTTTCACAGGTTCAATTTGATATTGATTTGCAGCATCTAACAATGACTGGACATTGTTGCTGTTTACGGAAATTCTGAAAAAAGTAGCAACATTACTATGACCAAAACATTTTCAACAAGAACTGGGAACATGACAACACACATAGCTAGATTAAATTAGGATTTTCAACCACTAGAACAGCAACACAGTATGTTACAGATACAGTACTACCTGTTGAACAAATAATTAAAATAGCATTAATTCACTTAACAGCTTTTCTGGTTTTCACATGAAGCTATCTGATGGGCAGATATTAAGAGTTATAAATAAACCTACCTTGCAGTATAAGCAAACTCCACAAGCTGCTCAATAATATCTGGCTCTGCATCTTTTAACTCCACTTCGTAAGACTTTGATTCAATCATATTTGCTGCAATTAGATACATAACACCATTATCTAACCTGAACAACAATTCCACCCCTGCACCCACATCTCAAAGGACCTGCTGCTCTAATTTAAGGGGGGGGGGAGAGTTGCAATGGAAGTTGTTAAGCGAACTTCAAGACAATCGCAGAGATCAGTTACAAAATGAGCAACAGAACCTAGAATTGACCAAGCTGGTATCTAGATTTAAATGTATTAACAACTGTTTTCCTAATTCCGTATTACTTATAGAAATCTTATTTACAGAAAAACAAGAATAGGTGTATCAAGAACTTCTGGTCTCACAAAACTACATCCCAGTCTTACATACATTTCAACCCAGCTCAAGGTAGGAATGGGAACCTGTGGCCTTCCTGTTGGACAACTCCCATCATCCCTCACTATTGGCTGTGCCAGCTGAGGCTGATGGGAGACAGTCCAAGAACATCTGGAGGACTACAGGTTTCCCTATCCTTGATGTAAAAAGAAAAAAAAGAAAAAACAGACTAATCCTAGTCACACTTCAGTGCATTGCACTTATGTTGCTACCATGGTATTCTCAAATTGCAAAGGAGACAAAGCTGCAGAACTCTACCTCTACAAGAAAATTCTCCAAAACATTTAATTAGAAAAGATGAATTAGTGTGGTATGAACGAGTTCTGACCTTAGAAACATCTGCACCTAAAGTTAGATAAAAAGAGGACACCTTCTTTTTCTCTAGAGTCCATTTTTAAAGACATTCAAATATTAAGCTTGGCGGTCGCAAATATGCCAGTCTCTCTGAAGCAGGTGTATTTTTGGCAAGTCTTATTATATACTGACTGCATGTGAGAAAGAGTTTTAGGAAGACAAGTGGAAAATCAGTGGCTTCACCGGTTCACATGTAAGACATGGTAAGTCAGTGTGTGGCTTACTGTGACCACACATACATACTGGCTCCCACCGAGACCATGGGTGCTTTACTCCTCCCTAGACATTTTAGGTCAGTGCGGTGGCAGTTAAGCCATGTTTTTGCTAAGTGTGTTGTCTGACTCTGGGGCTCTTGTTAACACCTGTCCTCAACCATCATCTGTGGCCAAAGCTTGTCCTTTGGCTACAAGTCATGATTGAGGAGAGACCTGAACTATGATCCAGGGGTTGGATGACACACTAAGCCAAATCTTGGTTTAGCTGCTGTACCAACCTAAAAAGCCTAGGAAGAAGCAAAGTGGCTGCAATCGTCTTCTTGGGAGACAGTATATTCATGCTAAGCCATGGTTTGGCTTAAAGCTGTTCTCCTGCATGGTGCTACTAAACTGCACTTGGGCTGACAGTTGGTCCAGCAACAGAGATGAAAGACAAGGAAGAAATATCACTGTAAAGATAACTGGACAAGATTCAAGAGTTTCTACTTATATGTTATTAAACCAAATCTGCCTTTCTTTGCAGGCCCGCAATGTTATCAACTCAGTACATAAGCTTGTTGCCAAATGGTACCTTGAATCTACTGCAGGTTGCCGTTACCACAATGGAATGTCTTATCTGCCAGGGGGTTGGACTAAATGACCCTTGGTGTCCCTTCCAACACTACAGTTCTATGATTTCAACTAATTGCTTGACTGTATCTTGCTCTTACAACAACCCACTTGTCCCAGTATGCAAGAAAGAGAAACACACACAGTGGAAATTGTATTAACTATGGACTAAGGCAGAGGTTTTTTAATTGCGGTCGCCAACCTGGAGCCCAGAAATCTCCACATAGTCGCAATTGAACCTGTGCCCGTAGATGATGATAATGATGATTTAAACCAGTAGAAGTTGAGTAGCTGAAGACTTACTGGTAAACATCAAGTTAAAGAAGTGACTTGCTGAAGCAAGCACAACACGATGAGCTGGGATCTTCCTTTCCTGGACCATGAGAATGACATCACAGAGTGTTTTCTAGCACAAAAAAGGCAAAATGATGACAAAACATGTAATATTTCATAGCTTCAGAGAAATGTGTAGAAATTCTTATTTTTTTGCTAAACTAGTGACCTACAGAAATGTACAACAAACACTATTGAAGACAAAATCACCATTTTTCAAAAGCCCTCAAGGCAGTGTATGTGATTCTTCCTCTCCTCATTTAATCCTCACAACAACCCTGTGAAGTAGGTTAGGCTGAGAGACAATGACTGGCCCAAGTTCATCCATTGAGCTTCATAGTGGTGGGAATTCAAACTCTGGTCTTGTAACTGAATTACATTTACAATATGAACAATTACAATTTTGCTGCTCTTCAGCTCCAAGTATGTGAGATTTTTGTATACAGTTTGGCAAACCCTACATTGTAAAGCTATGCCTATCTACTCAGAAATAATTCTTAGTTAGTTTAATAGGGCTTACTTCCAGGTAAGCATGTAGAAGATTGCAGGCTTAATACTGTAGCCAGCAACACATACTTAAAATAGCACTCATTGTCCCAAATGCTTATGGGAGGTCTAAATAGAAACAACTTGAACATTTGCTTCTTTCTTTATTGTCATTTCCACAATAGACCAAAATAGCAGAGTGACTAATGTGTTAGTTAAGTAGCTTTTAAATGAGACCAGGTTCCTAAAAAGTACTCTCTGCGTATACTTTAATGGATGCTCTTATTATTCTGTCCTCATTTAAAAGCTGCTGAACTAATTTCTAAAGGTAGAAAAGGTAGAAAAAGAAAGACATTGACAATTATTTTTCTCTGTTGTGGAAATGACAATGAAGGAAACTTAATATTGTCTCCATTTAGACCAGTTGTCTCCATTTAGACCTCCCACTATTTGGGAGAAAGACTACCATTTAAGTGTTTATAGTTGCTAGAATATTGGCCAATGTGTGTAGCATTTTTAACTTGAAATATAGATAAGCACCTCAAGGCAACTGAACAAGAGCAAAGCTGTTACTGAGCTAAAATATGTTAATGATCTTAAAATTGGTACAGTGGCAGTTCTAGCAAGTAATGACAATACAAATCACCACTAAAGCAGATTATGAAGAAAATTGGTTGCATTCAACTCAGTGTAGACCCATTGAAATTAATGTCCATTACTTAGGATTAATTGTAATAGGTCTACTCTGAGCAAAAGGTGAATACAAGCCACAGGTTAGCAAGGCAAATATTAAGCCTCATAGATCAGTAGACTGATACTACCCAAACACATCTGTTAAGTACACGATTGAACTAGCAGCTTTCACCCCAGTTTCATAGTCATACACTAGTCATCTTCACTGAGCACATGACTAACTTGTACCTTCTGGAAGGGGGCTGATGCAGCTTGCCAGCTGCAACCCCTACAGCCTGTTAACAGTTGTTCTGATAATAGCTTTCCTGCACAAAAAGATAGCTATTAACTCCTATGCCAGGCATAGGCAAACTAGGCCCTCCAGATGTTTTGGGACTACAACTCCCATCATCCCTGACCACTAGTCCTGTTAGCTAGGGATGATGGGAGCTATAGTCCCAAAACATCTGGAGGGCCGAGTTTTCCTACGCCTGTCCTATGCTGTTGTGATCACCTTTCTGTATCTCTAGAATACTATCCACTTGGGTGACATATGCTAGAGATAAAGGAAGATGAATCTGAATTAAGTTTACACATTTGCCAGGGTAACAGAAGTTGGAAATATTCTCATTTTTCCCCAGTGCATCCTTGTGGGTGGAACAACAAATAGTTACACCAGATAAATGAGCAAAGAATGCAACGGGATGGTCTTGGCTTCACATCAACTGCTCTGTGTACCAGAGATCCATTGCAGCATGGTAGTGCCCAAACATAAGGGACTGCACTACAAATCCCGATGCTGCTCGTTCAAATCTCACCTCTAACAGGAACTCATCAGGTAGTCAAGTTACAAGAAAGGAGATTCCTTCTAAACACACGGGAAACACTTTCCCGACAGTAAGATCTGACAGTGAAAGTCTCCCTCGGGAGGTTGTGGGCTCTCCTTGGAGAGGTTGGATGCCCATCTGTCACAGACGCTTTTGCTGAGATTCCTGCATTGCAGGGGGTGGGAGTAGATGATCCTTGGGGTCCCTTCCAACTCTACAATTCTATGATTCTTAGGCAAGGCGTCATCCGTGAGCCTTGTCAGCCTTCCCCCACCTCTGCAATATGGGAGTCCTTACGGGCCTACTTTACAGGACTGTTGTAAACACAGCAACAAAACAATGCCAAGCACTTTGTGTTAGCTGTGTGCCCCCTGCCATGGGTTTCTTCTCCTACAACTCCTCCGGGTTCACAAATGCCCTTGTGCCAGGCTCGGGGGGGGGAGAGATAGAAACATGTTCCTATTGGACCCCCCCAAGTCAAGGAGCCCTAGGAGGCCGGTCACCCCACGCCCCGCCTTACTTGCTTCCTCATGGTGTTCATGACCCCCATGAAGCTGGCCAGCAATTTGGCTTCTTCCCGGGCGGCGAGTTTCTTCTCCGTCTTCTTCTTGTTGCTCTTCTCCGACGCCGAGGCCGCCATGCTCCCTTCCCCTTCCCTCGCCTCCCTCTCGCCGGCGACGAACCGAAGGCTTCCCCAACCGACGCCCGGTCATAAACGGCAGTCAGCCAGGCTCCAACGGCCAACGCGAAGCGGCAGCCCCGGCCTCGCTCTGCGAAAAAAAAAGAGGTCTCCCTCCGCCCAGCAGTTGCAGGCCCTCTTCCTACACCCCCAAATATAGGCTCCCCTGGCCAATCAGGAGGCGGCTCGCGGACTCGCTGTCCGCCAACACAAGTCCGCCCCTTCTCGGGAGCCGGCGAAGATTCAGCGGGTGGGAGAGGTAAACAAAGAAGGAGCCGGCGCGCCGTGACGTCACGCCGAAGCGCACGACCTGCCCGAGACAATGAGAGCGGGGGACGGGAGGAGGTGGAGAGTTGTGGGTAGGCGCCAGGTGCGCATGTGTGGATGTGGGCAGGTTGGTCCCTGAAGGGTGTCAGAGGAGCACGCGTCTTCCCGAGGAGGGTGGGTCGCTCAGTCGCCCAGTATAGAAACACTCAGGATTGTAGAGATACGCCTCTTTCTTAAAGGAGGTGGCTTGGCAGAACACAGGAAAAGCATTGGCCCGTCTATGGTGTGTGCTGCCTGCCGGAGGCTCCGCTCCGTTGTCCCCGTAGATGGTGCTGTGGGTTAAACCAGAGCCTAGGACTTGCAGATCATAAGGTCGGCGGTTCGAATCCCTGCGACGGGGTGAGCTCCCGTTGCTCTGTCCCAGCTCCTGCCAACCTAGCAGTTCGAAAGCACGTCAAAGTGCAAGTAGATAAATAGGTACCGCTCCGGCAGGAAGGTAAACGGCGTTTCCGTGCGCTGCTCTGGTTCGCCAAAAGCTGCTTAGTCATGCTGGCCACAGGACCCGGAAGCTGTCCGCAGGCTCCCTCAGCCAATAAACCCCAGAGTCGGCCACAACTGGACCTAATGGTCAGAGGTCCCTTTACCTTTACCTTAGATGGGAATGGCAGGGGTTGAAACCAGGACCATCTTCTTCGGCATGAGAAGTACGTGCAGATCATCTGAACGCATACAGAAATCCAGGTGTGGAGGAGGAGGAAGGGCAACATGCATCCCCAATAGGGGCTGAGCTGGGAGCAGAGGTTTAAAACTCCAACTACCCCAGCACCCTACTTTTATTCTTGGAGGGAGCGGGTGGCACTGTGGTCTAAACCACTGAGCCTCTTGGGCTTGCAGATCAGATCAGATGGTTTGCGGTTTGAATCCAACTGACTGTGGTAAGCTCCTGTTGCTCTGTCCTAGCTCCTGCCAACCTAGTAGTTCAAAAGCATGCCAGTGCAAGTAGATAAATAGGAACCACTGTGGCGGGAAGGTAAACGGCGTTTCCGTGTGCTCTGGTTTCCGTCATGGTGTTCCGTTGCGCCAGAAGCGGTTTAGTCATGCTGGCCACATGATCCGGAAAGCTGTCTGTAGAAAGCTTCCTTGACCTGAAGCAAGATGAGCACCACACCCCATAGTTGCCTTTGACTGGACTTAACTGTCCAGGGGTCTTTTATCTACAGAGGTACCTCGGGATGCGAATGGGATCCGTTCCGGAGCCCCGTTCTGATCCCGAACGGAATGCAAGACGCGACGGCGCGTCTGCGCGTGTGCAGGTTGTGTTTCGCCGCTTCCGCACATGCACGTGACGTCATTTTGAGCATCTGCCCGAAGTGTCTGCCTGAAGCGCATTCAACTCGAGGTATGACTGTATTTTTATTCTTCCTTCTTTCTGCTGCTGCTGCCAAAACCAGTGGGGTCTTGGGCTCCTCAGAAAAATATTGTTACAGGCAGTGCTATTTTTCTAGAAAAAGAGGTGCCAGAACTTACCATGAACACCTCCCTTGTTCTCTTATAATGGCAATGGTGCCCACCTGAGAGGTAGGTGCAGGAACTGAGTTCAAGTGAGTTTTGGCCGTAGAAAAGCCCTGGTTACAGCCACCCCAATCTCCAAAGAGCGGTGCAAGATTCCATGGATTGCAGGTGCGCTTACCAGCATCTGTGTTCCCTTTTGGGACAATGGGGCACAACAGAGATGTAGTCCCTTTATCACATACACAGGCCAACAAGACCAATTGCCCCCCCCCCCCGGCCTGACAACATACGAATCAATATGGCTAACTTAACTCAATCCACTTCAGCCAACAATTCCTTGGGCCCTCTGATCTCTCACTCCGCCAGCAAAAATAAAACACCACGCCGGTCATGCCAACTTGGATTACATAGCTGGTATAGAGTCAGAAATAGTTGGGACTAGTGGCCCGTTGATACGGATACCTTTTAGCTTCTACAACCTGAAGTTATGGACTATCTACTAGGAGGCGTGCAGTTCTTCCTGGATGCTTGTCCATCCTGGCTGGTGATGTCTGCCAGAGCTGGGCTGGGTGTGTGATCTCAGAGGTCCTCCTGGATCTCTCAGAGGCTTTCAATATCATAGATTCTGAATCAGCTGACTGGGTCAGGCCACAGGTTCTGCTATGATTTGGAGTCTTCTGTCACGGAGCCAGATCCGATTGCTACTCCAAGACATTCAACAGATGGCTTGGCATCAGTGCAGGAACTCGCCCACCCTCTCTACAAGGGCAACAGCCATTGCTATTGAAGCTGCTGTGCTGGAAAATACCACCTGCCCATGGGCATAGCCAGGGAGGGGCACCTGCCCCTCTAAATCAATAAAAATACATAGCAAACTAAGGTTCTGCTGCCCCCCCCCAAAAGGCCTGCCGCCCCTAACAAAAATCCTGGCTATCCCCATGCACCTGCCCCATGCAAAACGGTTGTGTAAAGTATTTGATTGGAGTACACCTTGGAGAGCTGACCACATCTCCCTAGCACACCTGCACAGAGCTGTAGTAGTAATCAGCTTGAAGGGATTTTGGGATGTTGTTTTACCTGTTGTGTGATACAAATCTCTGCTTGCATCATGAAAGCTAAGCTTAGAATTGATGGTATCATTAAACAAAATTTATCTCTTTGAGGTCTTCTCCAGTGGCATCTTTTACAAGCTTGCACAGTTACTCCTCAGATGGCTGCAAGGTGTTTATTTAATATATTTCAACCTCTCTTTTAGGGTGACCATCACACAGTGATTTTTTTAAAAATGCTAAAAACAAAACAATTGAACAAGATTCAGACAGCAGAGGATCAGGAGCATGCAAGAAGATCAATAGAATGCTGGGTGAATTTATATTTAAAAAAAAGTATTCTAGGACTGCATAAAGACCACAAGAGAAAGGGTCCAGGCAAAGAGAGCCAAGTGGGGTTGCATAAACTACTGTGTGTACACATTGCTAGCAGTAAAAGGCAGGATTCCCCCCCCCCCATCTGAAGTCAAAACCTGCTTTCACCAGTAGATGTCATTATAGCAGTGGTAATAGAGATATAATTCTTATACGATAGCCCAGTGAAATAATGGACTTAGCTAAATAAATTAAAAAACCAAATAAGTTTTTGTTACAAACCTGTTGCTGGATTAATTGAGATCACTCTTTTTTTTTAATTGAGCAAAACATTTGTACTCAAATAGGCTAACAAATTAATCGACCAAATGTTGCAGCCCTGATTCTTTATATTTGTATGAGTGTTGCACATGCAAACTGTTCAGTGGCACAATGGGTCAGTGTGCCTGGCTGTTAACCAGAAGGTTGGTGGTTTGAGCCCACCGAGGGACGGCTGGATTCCTGCATTGCAGGGGATTGGGCTGTGTGACCCTCGGGGTCCCTTGCAACTCTACAGTTTTATAATTCTGTGCAAGACTCCATTCCCTGCACTAGTGAGTGACAGGTAATAATAATAATAATAATAATAATATTATTATTATTATTATTATTATTATTATTATTATTATTATTATTTATACCCCGCCCATCTGGCTGGGCTTCCCCAGCCACTCTGGGCGGCTTCCAAAAGAATATTAAAATACACCAATCATTAAAAGCTTCCCTAAACAGGGCTGCCTTCAGATGTCTTCTAAAAGCCTGGTAGTTGTTGTCCTCTTTGACATCTGGTGGGAGGGTGTTCCACAGGGAAGGTGCCACTACCGAGAAGGCCCTCTGCCTGGTTCCCTGTAACTTGGCTTTTTGCAGTGAGGGAACCGCCAGAAGGCCCTTGGTGCTGGACCTCAGTGTCCGGGTAGAACGATGGGGGTGGAGACGCTCCTTCAGGTAAGGGACTGGAGGAGGTGCTGGTAAATTAACTTATCTCCTGGAATTCCACCAACACCAACACACAAAGAGCAACGCAAGGCTTTTGGAAGAAGCCAGTAAGGCAAGTGTGAGGAACCTTTGATCATCTAGATGTTGCTGAAGTACAACTCCCATCACCCCTGGCCATTGGCTATGCTTGCTGGGTCCTGTGAGGAGTTGTAGTTCAGTAAGTAACACCTGGAGAGCCAAGGTTTCACCACACCTGCAGTAAGGCAGCAACTACAATGCAACAGCACTATGACAATTACGTAATAAGCTTGTTTGTCTCCACTCCATAAGCCCTTAAATCTGATCTATCCATTACCCTGCCCACCTCGAGAATCCATAATAATAAAGGACCCCTGGATGGTTGTCCAGTCAAAGGCGACTATGGGGCTGTGGCGCTCCTCTCGCTTTCAGGCTGAGGGAGCTGGCGTTTTTCCACAGACAGCTTCCCAGGTCGTGTGGCCAGCGTGACTAAAATGCGTCTGGCACAACAGAACATAAAGAAGGAAACCAGAGCACACGGAAACGCCATTTACCTTCCCACCACAGCGGTACCTATTTATCTACTTGCACTGGCGTGCTTTCGAACTGCTAGGTTGGCAGGAGATCCATCGTACAACAGTGGCACAGAACAACTGATGTGTGCAATCAGATTATTTGATTGCAATCTTAAGTAGTTTCAGGCGGGAATAAATCCCATTAATGACAGTGAGGATGTATTTCTGAGTAAATTTCATAGTATGTAACTGCACACACCCACACACACTGTTGTAAATCTCATTTGTGTTAGCATGTGTATTGTTTTCCCAAGGTGCCCTTCTATGTTCTGTCGTGTAAGACTCCATTTGAAAACACTGAGGAAATCCTCCTACCATTGTCTCTTCATAAACAAGCTCCCACACCCTCTTTTCATCTGAATTGATGAGTCACATTAATCAGAATTGAGGGAGCATTTTTACTATGATTATTAAGTGTTACCTGCAGCTTTGGCACTGTAAAGCTGTTCAGTAATCACTTTAATGCATTAAGTGAAGAGAAAATCTGTAGAGAACATCAGTAATGCAGCAGGTTAGCTGGTATATATAGGCAACACAAGCATTGACATTTGGATGCCCACAGGGATTTATTTTGTAGCACAGAAGTATTTCAAAATGAGCCATGGATATCTAGCTGTTGTAAGACAGAATGGATGATAACCTGATCTTCTCTGC